GGGGGGGGGGAGCCAGGGGTTGACAAAAAGGCGGCAAGATCAACCTCTGAAAAAAAGCACCCAGACTTTATTTCCAAGAGGTGGTACTTATACCCAGCTTCTATTGCACTAAAATTTATTAGAATTTGAAATCATCATCAAGGTATATGGGTATTTCTTTAGCCTTCAGAAATTCTTCCAAACACTGGATTCAAAATATGGAATTCTTTGTTCCACTATAATAACTAAGGTAAACAAAAAACTTTGGAAGGGGAATATAAAACTTTAAGGCTCAACACAAACTAGCTCTTCTTGATTAGGAGCCATTTATCAGGAGACCTTTATGGGGAACAAATAAATCCCCACTGGTGTCCCACAAAGCTTCTTGAACCCTTCTCATGTAGTGGCCTTTGAAGAGTATTTGGACTAGATGGGACATGGGTATTATACAGTAGGACAGTTGCTTTGTGTCCATTAAAAGATGTCTCATGGAATTAAATGTCATTCTGTAAACATCTGTATTTCCCCAGTGTCATCATAATTACTTGTTACAACAAAATAACAATTCCTCCCCCCCTCCCGCAAAGGATATTTACTTACTGGTGGGTAATCAAAGTCTATCTGGTTAACTAAATTTAAGATGTAGTCGATTCGAAACTGGTTCTCTGGATTGGCTAGTTCAACTGGAGGTGCCAAATTCCCCATTGCTGTCACTATTGTCTACAAAGAGAAGAATACATACATTGGAGAGTTAGGGTTTAAAAACATAGGTTTTGAGTTGCTACAAACAATGGCTTACAGACTTACCTCTATAGCTTCTTTAATATTGTTTTTAATATCCTGAATTTTCATTTTCTTCTCCCTGTAACCAAGAAAACATACGTTAAATATATGAGCCATAAAGACACTGAAGTCTATCAAATGGAATGCAAAAGTAAGAGTGTTTCATCAAAATTAAATATTACTCAAACAAATAACATAGCTACCCTACCACTACTCAGTCATTGGATATGTTTGTCATTAGGCCAGATCAAATACATTACCTGGTAAGAAAAAATGGAGATTTTTTTCCATTTCAAATGCATGTACTTAAACATATAAACTTACTGTAATCTTTGATGGTGAGGAAATTGTATTAGTGCCCTGGCAGACATTCTGTAGATAAAGCAGGTTTGGTTATATTTGAGTGTACAGACTAGAAATACCTGGAGGCTATTTGGAACAGCACAAAGCAGGAAATGAAGAGATAAAATGGACAAGGTACCAAAAGTAGAAACAAATAAAGCAAAGCACATAAAAAGTACACAAAAGATTTGAGAGTGAAAACAGTCAGAGAAGAAAAAATCTAGAACAGAGAGCTTAGACCAGAAGGAGATATGTACATTTAACATCATAGACATGCCAAGTAAAATGGGATTAAGAGGACTAATCCAATGTATAGCATTTTTAACAAAATACAAGCAGGTTATTCTACAAGAGACTACAGTACTCTGAATATGATATGCGGTGATACTTTTATTTGGGACTGTCTGCACCGGATATGAAGAAGCTATTGTCACTCAGGCTAAATAAAGCTATGGCATCAGTGATTTTACTCCACTGAATTCACCAGGATAACTGGTTATAATGGCTGTTTACAGATGTTAAAAAAAATCCAAAAAGCATGCTTTACTGGAAGCACCAGCACATTTGACCTGGTCTGCAGCATCTATACAGATCAGGTACTTCTGCAGGGCTTTTTGGCACTCTTATCTAAAGCTGATTCAATCAGCTATTATGTAAAAGTGCCAAAAAACCCCACTAAAGCGCCTGATCTATACAGACATTGGGTGAGCCAGGTCCAGCAAATGCAGTGCTTCTTCTGGACATGCACTGGACTCAGCGTGGGGGCACACCAAGTCTAAAACAAAGCACCATTTTGGGGTTTTTTTTGTTTTGTGGGGGGTTTTTTAAACTTCTGTAAGCAGCCAATGGCCATGTCCACACAAGTGTGGATGTTTGTTTCCCTGGGGACATGAAGCAGCATGTACTAGTTGTCCCCAAGGAATGCCTATGCCATGCAGGTTGCCCCAGATAGGATAGGGAAGGCTGGGGCCAGCACTGAGCTGGCCCAAGCAGCCTTACCTGGGGTGCAGGGGACCTCCTGGTTGGCAGCCAGTGTTGGTTTTGCAGTCCTGGTTTTGAGCATGCACCTCCCCTTCTCCTTCTTTTTTTTTTTTTTTTT